ATGGGCCTTTTAATTTTTTAATGGATCAATTTATTTTAAGTTAATTTGGACTTTCCTTAATTTTTTTTGGACTTAAAATATACTTAATATATTAGACGAAACTATAATAAGAGAGACCCCTTTTTCGGGTCTATTTTTAATGGATAACAATACTAATTTTTTTGAATGACTTTTTAATTTTTTAATGGATCAATTTATTTTAAGTTAGTATGGGCCTTTTTTAATTTTTTTAGACTTAAAACATACCTAATATATTTCACTAAATTATAATAGGAGGGGCCTCTTTTTTTAGTCTATTTTGAGGGGCCCTAGACCATGGCCTTGTGGCCTATGCCCCAGGGCTGGCCCTGGAAGCATGTGAGAGGCTACCAAACCAACAAAAACCAGAGTAATGGCATGCCAAATGACGGCCAAAAACCCATTGAAACATAGTCAAAACATGCTAGAATGACATGCTCCTTTGATAGGTCAAAAAGGGGGTTACTCTACACATGCAAGAGGCAACGTCAAGGTGACCAAACCAACCCTGGAAAAAGTCTAGGAAAGCCCTAAAAGTCACCAAAAAGGGCCTGAACCAAGCCTTGGAAGTATGAAAATATATGCTCCTTTGATAGGCCAAAAATGCAAGTAAATGAAGCAAGAAGAGACGGGGTCACCCCTCTCTGATTTAGGGCCTCAAAACTACATGTCAACCACTAAAAATCCACTGGATTTCATTGGCTAAAAGGGCAAGCAAAGATTAAATCAAAGGCCTTATGGCATGGCACAAAACAAGGCCAAATAAAGCATGCAAGAGGGTAGAAGACCCCCAACACCAAAAAAGCCTTAAACAAACATAAAAAACACTTCAATATGAAGCTTTTTTCAATTTAAAGTTAATTCAAAATAAGAATGTAAATATGGCTAAGAGTGTAGTCAAAATAGAGCTTAAAAGGGGAAAAAAGATGGTTACCCTTGAAGCACTGCAAAACCAGCCCAAAATCTGAACCAAGACCAGCTTTTGAAGCTCAAAATGATCCTCGAAGAACCTCAGCCCAATGGTGGTTAACTTTGATGAAGGATGCCTAGGCAAACTAGAAGCATTTCTTCACTTTCAAGCACTTCCATGCACAAGATGGGCAAGGGAGTGGAGTATATAGAGAGAGGGACAGAGATTCAGCCCTAGAAGTTGTAGAGAGAGAGAGGCTTTTTAGAGTGAGAAGCTCCCAAGCTTCTCCAAGAAGATTGTCCCTGGAAAATGAGAGATATAGCCTCATATATAGCAAAAATGAGAGTTGGCTCGAAAATATCTGTCTATGGGACAGTTGGAGGTTGTGGAAGACAGTTGGAGGATAAATATCTGAGTTTGGGACCTGTAGACCACTTTTCTGGTCGGCCGACCACTTTTTCAAGAGAAAGTGGTCGGCCAGCCACCTTTTCTAGTCGGCCAGCTAGTTTTTCTGGATGGTAGAAAATTCTACTTTTCAGGTCCAACTTCAAATGGCCATAACTCCTTCATCTGAACTCCTTTTCAGGTTATTCTTGTATCCAAATTGAAGCCCCGGAAGTTATCTTTCTAATGGAACAAGCCTTGTATCAAAATTCCAACTGTGAAAAACGTTATGCCCATTTTGGTGAAGCCGCGTAGTTTTGGTCCTACCCGAATTCATGTCGAACTTCTCCCAAACTAGTTTTCTTCTCTCCTTTCCTCTTTTCTTCAACTCCAAACCCCTAAACAAAGCGTTTTGAAAGATTTTTCAAAGATTTCATCTCTCTTTCATTCATTTCTACTTTGTCCTTGCTCGATTTACCGAAAAGCGCAACATTTAATGAAATGCGAGCGTCGGAACATCGTAGGAACTTTGTTTTCAAAAAATTTTGAAAGAGAGGGTTTCAATGTTTAAAATCTTTTGATCAAGATTGTTTTGGTCCAAAAGGGGTATGAAGTTGAGATTTGACTCTCTCATTTCTGAAGAAACTGAACCTTTGCCCTGCGCACCTTCATCATCGAATAAACCATTAGTAGTGCCCAAGTCTTAAGGGCGGTCAAAAATGGGGTGTCTACAGTATATCAAATCGCTAAAATGACTTTTTACATCACTTTTTCAAATCTTTTCTTCCAAAAACCCTATAGTGAGACTCTCTCTCTCTCTAAAATACTCTCTCTATCTCTCTTTCTCTATATTTTCTCTTAGATTCGTTGATCTCTCTGCCCCAGTGTCTTTGGGAAAATGGTAGAGCATCTTGAGAGCTCCATTTTGATCTGATTGGAGTTTGGTTTTGGCGTCGTTAAAGTTTCGTCCTTGCTCCATTGATCTTCTAAACTTCATGTAGGGACTCTCTACACCTCAATACGAGTTTTAACTTGGTTATAGGTTGTTTTGTGAAAATGATGAGATTTAGGGATGTTTTGAACAAACCTAGGGTTTGGGTTCAAGTTTGAAAAGAGGGGTTTCTATGTGGGTGTTATATAAATGATTATGGGGTTTGGATGTGAGGTCATCTTGTGTTAAAATAGTTAATTTTAGTCTTTGGATTAATATTTGGAAACTGGGAAGCTTTGGCCTAAAATGTCTTGAATAGTATTTTGTATAAATAATGAAATTGGTATGAAAAATGTGAAATTGGGAGGATGTATACATGAATGGTGTTGTTGGATTTGTTTAATCACTCATCTATGGAAATTTGATGATTTATCTGTTATAGAGATTGTATATCTGTTTAGAAATATTTGCTTTGGGCTATCGGTAGAGGATAGTCATGATTGTTGTAGACATTGCATGTGGATTAGGCAAATTGAAACCAATCCCTCAACCATTATCATTGAATATGATTGTGAATGATATACATTGTATATGTATGATATTTGGGAGGAGAAATGAGATGTACTCCATGCTTTGAGGAGAAGAAATGAGATGGACTCCATTAAACTAAGTTGGCCTATGTGTTTAAGGTGAAAGTCCCGAAAACCATTTGTATACATGGGTGCCCAATCCAGCGGACGAAATTTCCGTAAAATGAGAAATAGAAGTGAATGTTTTTGTATGATGACTTTATCTGTTGGAAATTTATGAGGTGTAACCTCTGTTGATGGGTTAATTGTAGTGGATGTATCTGTTGAACTAAAATGATTGATTTGAGATACAAGTTTGGCATAACATACTTTTGGGAAAGGGTTATAAAGATTTTGTTGTAAGATAATGAACATGTGCATCACACTTATATCTTGTTAATTCTTATATATTGTGTTAGTATTTTTCTACTAGGCTTTGGCATACCCTATTTGGGAACCATTTTCAGGTGTTGGAGACATACCTCCGCCAAGACAGTAGTTTGGGGAGACTTGGAGCAAAAGCTTCCTTTTATTTTACTTATTTTGTATAGTCAAGGGCTAAGTTGTATTGAGTTAGACTCTTCCTTTTGCTGTAACCAAGCAATGTCTTGGAAAGATGTAAGTTCGTAGGGCATTTATTTTGTTGATTACTAACTGTTATTACATGCTATAGATTCAGAATGAGCATTTATGAATGTATATTGCATGTGTTATCTTTTGTAATACGAACTCTGATGAATGAAAGCATACCAATTCTATTATACTCACTTCTCTTATGAGTTGGATTAGTTGCATTTTTGGGGTGTTGCAAAAGTACTCCAATCCCAAACTACAAGAGAGTAAAATGAATTTATGTGTATGAAATAAGAAAGAAAAAAAAAAGTATAAGGTTTGAGGATATTATAGTCATTTCACATCTACAGTTAACGGTATTAATGGTTGTACTTTAATCCAAAATCACATGGGAACTTTCTGGCTATATTTGAACCATGGAGGTAAAGTGCTCTGGTGACACACCTTAAAAGAGGTAAAATGAATTTTGCTCTAAATTTTATTTTATTTTTTAAAGAACTTCTAAAAAATAAAATAAATAGAACATTAATAAAAATTAAATAAATTTATTTTATTTTTTGGTTGAGACTTTTAAATTTTATTTTATATGACTAAGTGCAATACATAATGTGAAGGGGTAAAAATTAGCCCATGTGAGGTGGGCCCACCCAATACCTACATGAAATAAGGATCAAGGTAATAAAATAAACAACTTGCAATGCAACTTGCCAAGTTGCTCTAACATTTATGTATTATGAGTTTTGAGCCACACAAGTGGCTCATTTTTATTGGACCAAATTGGTGGTTTATTCTCATTGGACAAAATGAATGGCAGGTTAGCCTATATAAAAATATAAAAAGATTTAATCTTTAACTCCTGGCAAGAGGTATGCCTAAACTATTCTATTTACCTATTTAGTTTGATTTAGAAATATGCTATATAACTTGATTGTCGGAGTGCCCTCTGGCTAGCAACTACCGGTCGAGAGGCATTAACTATTTATTCTTTTTGCAAATTCGGAACGGTGCTGGTAAATTCTTTGTTAATCTCTCGATTAATATATGTGGGATAATTTTTGCCTCCATAATTCACTACAGGAAAAGGGGGATTTGGTGGCATTTTGTTAACGACGTTTCTGTAAACGTCACTGTTATTAGTATTTAACGGCGTTTTATAAACGCCGCATATTCTATTAAACAAAACGACACCGTTTTATAATGGGAGGCGTTTAAAAACGCCTCCGAATGTGGTGACCCACACACGCCCCTTTTTGTGAAAACCTTATTTTGAATCAGAGCCTACATACGCACAGATCTCTCGACCTTTAATACATGCGCACAGATCTCTCTCTCTCAACACTCTCCATCGAAGCTCCATCGAAGCTTAAATCAAAGAAGATTCAGATCGAAGCCCCAATCTGAACAAAACCTGATTCAGATCCATCGAAGCTTAAATCAAAGAAGATTCACTACACCCGTGATTTCACTCTCTCTTGCTTCAAACCCTTTCGTTTCTCTCGATTCAAACCCCTTCATTTAGTAATCGATTAATCTGCAACCCTTCTCTTCAAGTATTCGATTCACCTCTTCGTTTATTCGATTGAAGTATTCATAGATCATCGATTCGTAGATCAGCCTTATCTCTATCTCTAGTTCATGTTCGAGTTCGCAGGTCTTTCTTCATGGTAAGTGTTGATCAGTCTTATCTCTATCTTCTCACAGTCAAGTTCGATTGAAGATGATACTTACTGATGGAATCATTCGATTCAGGTTTGCTAGGTTTTATCTAGATCAGATCGATCGATTGAAGATCTATTGATCGATTGAACGTGATTTCGAAGTTCAACCTTCTTCAGCTCGGTGATTCAATCTCAGATTCGTTCGGCGATTTCGAAGTTCTCTCTCGATTTCAAAGCTCGGTGATTCAATCTCAGATTCATTCAGCGAGGAAAGTGAGCACCATCATCTACCAAGGTGAGCACCATCGCTTCAGATTCTCTTGTTTTTTTTCCCTAAATTAGCATGTTGAATTTTCCTAGCATGTTGAATTTTAATCTCTGTTTTTTTATTACCCTAAGTTAGCATCAGTTTGGATTGATCAATCAGTGTAGCTTAGATATTTAGGTAGAATATCTGGTTACATTATTATTATTATTTTGAATTCTAAAATATAGAACAGTTCATTATATCTTGGAATGGATTGTGATTTTGTATTCATCATATTGAGAAAAAATCTAGCTTAATTCAATTTCTTGCATAATTTTTTTTACAGACAGTAATAGATATTGATATTTGAACAATTTGTGTATCCTCTGCTTTGCTTCTTTACGTGTCTGATAGAAGAATGTAAATTGTAGTCTCTTTGTGAAGAGATTACCATAGCCGCCTTTATTCATAAGGATACAAATAAGTGTTGGTGCCAAAAATGATTAATAGTAATAAGAATGTAAATTGTAGTCTCTTTGTGAAGTCATTTTATGCAACTAGGAAACTTCTTAGGGACTTGGGCCTCGATTATCATAAGGTACATGCATGCCCAAGGGATTGTTCACTATATTGGAAGGAAACAGTTGGTATGGATGATTGCATAGTGTATCATATGCCTAGATACAAACAGTTTGAGGGGGAGGAGAATGATGTTAAGAAGAAGCAACAAAGATTTTTAACTTCAAAGAAAGAGAAGAAGAATAAGAAGAAGAAGATGAACTAACAAGGTATAATATTAGCTTCAAATTTCATCCCTGCCTAAATTTTTGTCAACTTAAACCAGGTTGGCGAAGAAACATAAATGGATATAGGGTTTAGTATTTGTATATTTATCGCTTCGAATTATGCATTTTGGGCTATGTTCAAGTGTTTCTAATTAATAGATCATTAAAACATCTGATGCTTTTGGAAGTTTAGCCACCATGCTCACCACAACACAGCTAAGAATTTCATTGCATTTGTATCCTGGAAAAAGGGGTTGACTAAATTCTTTCATCATATATCAACTAGCTTTTGGAGTTTCTAGTGTCTGGGAGTTTCTAGTGAAACAGAAAATGGACAGGATGCTGTTTCTTTTTGGTTTAGATAATCTACAACAATAATTATAATGTTTTTTTATTTGGTATGGTTTCTCTCGTTGCCTATTCGATTCTATTCTCTTTTTTTTTTTTGAACATTTATGTTTAAACAGAGAATTATGCCTTTTACTGGTAAAGTAAAAAATGGGCTATGCATTAATAAGACTCACAAGTTTGATCCCAACATACTGTTTTTATCTTACTCTGGTCAAGCCGTAAAGCTTCTAATGCTGCTAATGCGAATAACTTGTCTGCACTTCTAATTTGATTTCCATAAATCTTCTTCTTGGGGACTGTTTACTTGTCTCAAGTTTGATATATTAATTTCAGAATTATGTGGTTCTAATATTGCAAAGTTACTTTTATTCTGTAGACTGTGATTTCTGCACTGCAATCTGTTTTACAAGAGGATTTCAAGGCTACTGAGATTGAGGTATTGCCATTTTCTTAGCGACTTCCTGAGTACTTATTTTTCTTCATAAGGTACTCTACAAGTCATTAACAAATTTACTTTTCTTGAACAATCTAATTTAGCCTAAATCATCTCACTGCGTGATATGTTCCACTTCAAAGGTCGTCACTTATTTTAATTACTATTTTATGATGTGTGCATCAGTGATTTTGTTTTATTTTCTATAGCCAAAGTTCTCTCTATGCTTGGCATCCTTCAGAAGGTTCTAAGCCTCATTTCGGCAGCCTCTGTGAGATAAATCTAAAGATATATCTTATTATGCTCTAATAACCCTTACCTAATGTAGTGTTGCTATAGGACAATTATTATTATTATTTTTTTGGTCAAGTATTATTATTATTCTTTTATTATTTTAGTTTTTTTTTCCTTCCCTTCAGTGAAGTATTCTGAATTCTGATAGCATCCATTGGTAGATGCACCTATCTTAATTTTGATTGTGTCCACTGCTAGATGCACCTATCTTGAATGAAATTCAATTCTTGGTCTAATCAAATACCCAGTACTCCATTTCCTGCTACTTTTTGGTGTCACTATATATACAAATCTGATGCTTCAATCCATGAAATTGTGTTTCACAACATTTTGAGCGAGTAAGGTCCTCCATTTTGTTACCGATTTTCTATATGAAGAGATTTGTATGGATGTCTTCAATCAGGATGAACTTGGCATCATGAGTTTGGGAACATGAAGCTGACAAAGGATACATATAAATTTGAGTCACCTGAGGAGTAATGAGAACAAAAACAGTGAAAGATACACATTAATTTGAGTCACCTGAGGAGTTAAATGCAAGTTTTCAATCAAAAGGCATAAATTCCAAGCACAGTCTCCAGATCTGTTTCTTCTTTTCCTATCACTGCAGAAACATGTAGTAATCAGTTTCCTCCTATGTGACTAAAAAATAGTTTGTCACAATGCATTCATGCTTGACACTGGTGTATCATGTATGTCTAGTGAATGTGCTGAACTATTTGTTAGAGAATGTTTTATTTTGGCTGATTTGGTACCTTCTATTATCATAGATCATGAATAATTTGAGTTATGAGTTATTGTTTTGTTTTCTAATTTTTTATCATAATTTCATAAACAAGCTGCCAAGAAGGATGTATTTCAGTTGTTTGCTGAGAAGGTGGAATATTTCAGAGGAAAAGAAGGATGTACTTCCAGCTACGTATTAATATCTTGGAATGGATTGTGATTTTGTATTCATCATATTCTAAAGACATACTAGAATCAGATAAGAACCTAGAAATAGAAGACATTGGCAATATTCTAGTGGGAAAGAATCTTTTGGTGCGCTGTGATTTTTAGATATATGTTAGTTTGTGATTAATGTTAAAATATGATTTTTGGATATATGTTATTTTGTGGGCAATGGTGATTGAATATTAATTGAATGAGAAATTGAATTAATGCTTCATTTGTTATTTGAATAGGAGTTATTATTTTATATGTTAGTTTCATTACAGGTGTTTGAATGGGAGTTAATATTTTATATGTTAGTTTTATTATAGGTATTTTTTTTAGTTTAATCAAATAAAATTAACACAATTTCACCCCCCCAAAAAAAAAAGAGAGAGAGATATCACGGCGTTTCTACAAATGCCTCCTAAACCCTCGCCATTAACGGTCACTTTTTTCAAACAGATAAGACGGCGTTTCCAAAACGTCGCTAAATATCGTTGGTGACGTCAGCGTGTGTATGGTGGGACATTTGGCGGCGTTTTTAAAAACGCCTCCTATACTAATATCACGACGTTTTTAAACGTCGCAAAGCTACAGCGACGCCCGCAGCTTCGACGTTTGGTAGTAAACGCCACAAAATGAATTAGCGGCGTTTTTTATAAATATAGCGGCGTTTTTAAAACGTCACTAAAAGCCGCATTTCCAGCAGTGATTAGCGCCGTCTGTGAAAACGAAAGAAATTAACTAAGAAAATAACAAAACACCATTCTGAAGTTCTAATTTATAGTTTGTCGACCATCAGTACAGTTGTTATCATTGTTGCAAATATAATATATTTTCTTATTAACATGTGGTCTATTCCAAGCTTCATAATAAAGGCATATATATACTTGAATAGTGGTAATATTTTGATGGGTTTCATGTTTTGATCAGCTACATATATGAAGTTAGAAAATCTGTTTTGCATAAATACTAATATTTTCGTTCGTCTGATAAAAAGGTTTGTGACTTGTTTGGCTTAAGAATAAGATATTGTAGTTAAACCCATAACTAGGTCTTCACTTTTTCTCTCCCTAGAAGTATTCCCAACAAGAGAAATTGACAAAGATAGGCCATGAATTATTATAGTAAAAAATTAATAATTTGTGATAATCAACTACTTATGAGGCTATATATATATCCAAACAGTTTGATTTGGAGGCAACTTCAATTGCCATGAATGGCTCATGATATTTCCTTCAAGCTTCTAATTCTATTTCTCTAATATAATTTCATGAATTTATTTTTCAAGTAAAACTGTGAACTTCATTAAAAATTTTGCATGATATAGTTTAAAGATATCTTGGTACACCAGCAGTTGATCCTGACCGAAATCTCGGCAAAATCAAAGACCAAAGATGAGTGTTGCATTCGTAAAGAAGTGTTTTTAGCAAGGTCGAAGACCAAAAAGTCTTGCCGACCAAGTTCTTAGCAAAACCAAATACAAAGAGATGTCAACCACATGTTTCGGCACACTGAGAAGCCAAGAGAAGTGGCTGACCAAGACTTAGCCTCCTCTCGGTGCCAATCATAAACGAGTTAGCCTCCTCTCGGCGCCGATCACAAACAAAGAAAAGCACCCTTCATTAGCTCCTAAATATTGAGATGAATTGCCACCAAATTTGGACACCATCTCCGTCTGTCTCTCAAATATATGCTAATATATACATGTATATACATATGATGATGAAATTTGTAACTTCGTCTGTCTGTTATTTATGCTTGAATTTTTGAACTTTTTAGAAAGGTTCATTGATGAACAACTAGAAGAACATCCCAAATACGGCGACCACTAGGTCGGCTCTCTTTGGAGTTATTCAATAGACATCACACCAAAGGCTAATGAGATGTTGAGCAAGCACCACAATTATCCACGTCGTCCGCAAGACAGAGCCAAAAAGAGTTGACGTTGGCAAGCTAAAAATCAGGAAAAGTTGTCAATCAAGCGTTTCGAAAAGCCAAACAATTGCAAAGAGTCGCCGATCAATCATTTCGGCTAGCTAAGCAACAAAGAAGAGTTGTCGACCCACTAATCTCGGTTGGAAAATTCATCATGGTTAGGGACACAACATTGAACATGGTTCAATTCATTGCCAATCCAAATGATTAAATAGTAAACATACCTCGTTGCAAGAACGAGGCCAAGATGGTTTGCCAACATCGTTATTGTGCAAGCATCCATGATAGCCCGAAAAATAAAGACCAAGTTAGGTGTTT